GGGATGGTAGGCATAGGACTCACGGATTCGCCGAGAATGAGATTTAAGCGCAAGTTTTCCGCTGTTTTTGTAAATTGTTTTTATTAAAGATTACTTTTAAATCACATTTAAATTATTCTCTATTAAAAACTCATGTTTCCGACTGTCACTGCCTATTATTATTAAAGTATACATTATCTTATAGTGTAATTTAAATTTTTATTAAATCAGTTTACAAACTTAATCAATTATTTATGTATTTCAATGTTATTATAGAGACTGAGTTGCAATTCAAATGTGCCTTAAATTTAAATGTTTGTAAGAATGTATTTTATAGTTAAAGTTTTAAATTTAACTTAATTAAGTAAAGTACTTGTCAATAAACTTATTTAGATAATTTTTAAGTAAATTACAATAAAATTTTGTTTATTTGATTGCAAAAATTAATAAAATTTGTTTTTATTTTTATCATATTTTAATTTAATTCTGGATTGTTAAAAATTGAATATTTACTTTATTACTAAATGTTTAATAGAAACACTAAATGCAAATAAAATTTAATCATATATGTGGAAACTATTATTTTTATAAAATTTAAATTTTCCCAGTAAATTAAACTAAAAATAAGTTTAATTATTATGTGTTAAAACTAATAATTCAATTACAGAAATTCAATAACAAACAATTGTATTAATTCATCGGATTTAGTTAAAAATTAACTAAAGTTAAAAACATGTAGTATTAATTGTGCTATATTTAACTTTCAACTAAATATCTAGATTAAAATGTGTACAAAATATTTATACACCACTTTTTAATTTTTACAAAACATTGCTTTTCAATTCAAAACTTTGCATTCACTAACAGTGCACTGAAATCGCTGGCAAACTGTAAACCATAAGCCATACATAACTCCAAACTTTTATCCACTTATTTGCGACACATTTAGCTCATCCACAGCAACCTCTTCGGCAATCAGTGGATCACTCGTCGCCCATATTAACAGATAATTAATTATAAAAAAGTTTTTAGGACTCTTCGGCAATACCGGTGCGTGCGATGGCGCAAGAGATCAACGCTCAGCTCGTCATCAAAGTGTTTCTGGTGGTGGTGTCGGCCATATTGGGCGCCTTCTTCCTCTTCCGGCTCTACCACTACTTCGTGAGCGACTCGAAGCCCTTCTCCGACACCAATTCGGCGACACTCTTCGTGTCGTTGGCGGCCGGACTCGTGCTGTCGGCGCTGGCCTTCTGGGGCGCCTTCACCGAGAACCACATCCTATGCTACATATCATTGGGCGCCGCCATCTGTCTAACCGTCTGGTTTATCCTCCAAATACTCAGATGTCTGTTCGATATACCGAAGCTCTTCGACAAAGAGAGTATGAGTTATCACTTGTCCGATGGTCTGGTTTTAGGCACTAATTGATTGGTTTTTATTGTCATAGACTGCGAGACAATGGATTACGTCTGGAGAGGGCTATCCACCGCTGGCTCCGTTTTCATATGCGTGGCTATATTTGTCTTCATTGAGTCCATTAAACGCCATTGATCTCCAGATGATCGCCACCTCTCATCGCATTTGATGAATAGTTTTAGGGATTAATTTTTAATGCTTTTTAAATTGACTTTTTAATGAAATTTAATTTTGCCACTAATTTTGATAAATTGATACTTAATTTTGTTTAATGGANTTAATTTTTAATGCTTTTTAAATTGACTTTTTAATGAAATTTAATTTTGCCACTAATTTTGATAAATTGATACTTAATTTTGTTTAATGGAAACTAACGGTAATTTTGTGTTAAATCTAATAAACACCTTTAAATGCATTTTTAAAGTCTGTACCGTATTTATAAATATGGGGAATTGTATTTTATTTTGAAACTTAATTTGCAATTAAAATTTTTGATTTAAATTGTTTGTTATACTAATTGTGTGAATGAATTGCGCGTTTCGAAGGGGAAAGTGATCCCCGGCGTGAGAATACCGGACACACCGCTGACCATACGTTTCCGTCCAAATAAAGTCCAAAAGTAACCCAATTATGACCCAGAGTTTGGAGTCCAACGATTGCTTGCCCTGCGGACTGAAATCGACTCCAATTATTACTGAAATTTATAAATTATGGCAACGAATACAATGTGTTTGTTGTAATAAAAACTTTTTTAATTATCATTTAAATTTCGACATTAATTACTTAAACGCAAAAGTTCTCACAAATAATTTAATACAAAACAAAACAATGATAAGTAATGTGTGTGTAATGGGGAAAAAAGGAATGGCATGTTAGGGCCGGCACTGTTCGTGATAGGGCTCGAACGTGCGGTTATCCCTCCAGGAGGGGGGCATAAAGTTCTGGAGCCGACAATTGCATTTACGACACGGCGCTGAGAATAGATTCGTATAACTCTTGAGCCAAGTCTGTCCACCAAAAGACAANACAGATTTTAATGATTGAGACGTTTTGAACATTTCACTATTTTGTTGGATATTTTCCAGACATTACTTCCCAGATCTCCACTACAGTAGAGCTCATAGTTTTAATATATGAGAGGTTTTTATTCATTAATAAAAAATAGACAAAAAAAACTTTAATAACAATTTACAAAAACAAATACAACTTTCATTAATCAAAAGCTTATTGAATTAAACCAAGAATTTCGATACCAATTGCTTATAATTATGTGGGAAAAGGATTGAAATCTCATATAACTGTAAACTCTCTGTTTAGGGAACTGTATGTCTACTCGAGTCGACTAGTAGTGAAAAAAGTCAAGAAACTAATTTTAGCCACTTTTAGCACATCCCAGTGCCATATGTATGTGCGCTGAGAATGTGTGTGTGGAATGGGATTGAAATAAACATTTTCAATGAATAAGAAAAATCTTTTAAAGTAAACATACAGAGAGCTTGAGGCACACCCTAACTCTTTGCAATGGGACGGGAACTTTAGCCCTCATTCAGTGATAGTGGTCTTAAATGGCAGATCTCTGTGTGAAGTAACTGTTTGTTCACCTAATCGCAAAAATAAAGTGTTGTTTCGCAACACAAATCGATGTCTTTTTGAATATCGAAATAGTTTTTTAACGTATTTGTGGTTTAATTAGATTTTGCGTTACAGAGGATTAGTTGTGAATTAAATAGATGTGTTAGCTTGGTGTTGACACAATAAATATGAATTCACTATATTATGTATGTTTGGCTATGTGTGCGTTGATTCCGGTGATTATATGCGATACAAATGTGGAGAAGTGTAGCGAGAAATGCGAGCCACAGAAGTGTCAGCCGCCCGAAGACTGTTTGGCAGGAGTTATCAAAGTTTGTCCCCTATTTCGTAACAAATTGCTATAATTTAAAACATAAATGCCATAAAACATATGTTTAAATGAATAAACTAACTAAACTATTGAATTTAATGTATAGTATAACAGAATAATTGGCAAACTCTTAACCCTATTATGAAAAACTACCAAAACTTTTGGTTTAATCCTAGGATCGATGCAATTGTTGTTCAATTTGTGGCCAAAAGGACGGCGAGAGGTGTTTCAACGAGACGCTGAGGAAGAAGTTGCCGCGAAGTTACGAGATATACGCCGATTGTGGTGAGAATCTGGTCTGTAAGATGCGGACAGACATGGAGGCCAATGACCCGCCGGAAGCCGTGTGCTATTGCCTGAAAGACGAGCCCATCTGCGGCTCCG